CTCCCCCTTTATTTGTACCACTATGCTCCATACGTGCTTCACTTTCTTCTCCATCTCTATCTCCTACCATCTCTGACCCAGTCACAGCCGTGCCGAACCGCCACCACACCGAGTAAAGTTTGATTGTTGGTTTATCAACTATTGCCCGCTAGCCACAGCTTTCAGCCTCTCCCACACTTCTGTCCACTATGAACCTTCCTGGACCGATTCAAATATTGTACGTCAGCGTTTGTTTATATGTGGGTGTGTTCCACTGACTATCTGTTGTACTGCAGTAACCTAACGTAGCCAGCCAGCACGTAGCAGGCGTCAAAGAAACGCCTGAAACTAGATCCACTACATACTGGCGCAGACTTTCTAAACCATACTGTCTTTGATACTTTTCTCGATGAGAATAAACAATACTGTAGGGGGGAGGCACTCTTCTGCATTGTTCAACCAATCCAGTAAATCTGAGGAGGAGTTAAAATGGAGTGGCGCCTTGTTAGTTGCGTCACAGCATTGTTATTATACCTCAATTACCACTAGATAGCACAACAACAAAGTCAAAATTGGCTATATCATAAAAACTCATATATTTTTTTTTACATATATTGCTTTTTGGTCATCATTTAAGGTTAGGGTTAGGTATAAGGTTAGCAGTGTGGTTAAGGTTATGGCTAATGTTAGCTTAAAATCACATTTTAAGAAAATAAATTGTAGAAATAGGCAGGGTTTACTGTGGCTGTGGTAACTACTGACGATAGTGCGTCACAGGCTTTCCATTTCCCCTGAAAACCGGAACATCGGGTTGTTTTGGACTCAGCAGAGGCTAGTCCACAGATAGAACAACGAGACAGATATTTCACTGGATGTATACATGTGAAGCATTCTCTTGGCGTGGAAACGACCAATTATGGTAGTGAGAGGAAGCCCAAGGGCCAGAAGTGGGTGAAAATTTACATTTACATTACATTACATTTTAGTCATTTAGCAGACGCTCTTATCCAGAGCGACTTACAGTTAGTGATTTTTTTTTATACTGGCCCCCCGTGGGAATCGAACCCACAACCCTGGCGTTGCAAACGCCATGCTCTATCAACTGAGCTACATCCCTGCCGGCCATTCCCTCCCCTAGCCTGGACAACTGTGCGCTGCCCATGAGTCTCCCGGTCGCGGCCGGCTGCGACAGAGCCTGGATTCGAACCAGGATCTCTAGTGGCACAGTTAGCACTGCGATGCAGTGCCTTAGACCACTGCGCCACTCAGGACCTATATGGATTTTGTCCTACATTCTGCCAAATTTCTCATCATTTGATCTCAATACAGGTTTCTGTTCCCAAAACTACAATATATTATAAACAGAGTGGATTAAGTTTTGTAGACTTTACCCTTTGCCAAAGTTATTTTTTAAATTGCGTTGTTTAGGAGTGCAAAGGCGAATTGCGTTATTGCACAAATATGCTAGAACGCATGCTAGAACGCACCAATAGGATCTCCCTAGTTCGTGCTTGGCTCTCCCCACCTTCTTGCTTGTTCTGCCCACTATGACTCATTGGTTTCCATCTGAAACCACAGGCTGTGGTTTATCTTGGTTTAGTTATAACAATCTTTGCTAGTCCTGCAGATGCTGCACTGTACAGAGCCAAGATTAAATGGGTGCATTCAAGATACAATCATGTAATCAGTGGTGTAAAGTACTTAAGTAAAAATACTTTAAAGTACTACTTAAGAAGTTTTTTTGGGTATCTGTACTTTACTTTACTATTTATATTTTTGACAACTTTTACTTTTACTTCACTACATTCCGAAATAAAATAATGTACTTTTTAATCCATACATTTCACCTGACACCCAAAAGTACTCGTTACATTTTGCATGCTTAGCAAGACAGGAAAATTGTCTAATCCGCATACTTATCAAGAGAACATCCCTGGTCATCCCTACTGCCTCTGATCTGGAGGACTCACTAAACACATGCTTTGCTAGTAAATTATGTCTGAGTGTTGGAGTGTGCCCCTGGCTATCTGTAAAGAAATAACAAACTAGAAAATGTGGCCGTCTGCTTTGCTTAACATAAGGAATAAATGATTTATACTTGTACTTTTACTTTTGATACTTAAGTATATTTCAGCAATTACATTTACTTTTGATACTTAAGTATATTTAAAACCAAAGACTTGTAGACTTTTACTCAAGTAGTATTTTACTGGGTGACTTTCACTTTTACTTTAGTCATTTTCTATTAAGGTATCTTTACTTTTACTCAAATATGACAGTTGGGTACTCATCACTAAGCTAAGGACCCTGTGTCTAAACACCTCCCTCTGCAACTGGATCCTGGACTTCCTGACGGGCCGCCCCCAGGTGGTAAGGGTAGGTAACAACACATCCGCCACTCTGATCCTCAACACGAGGGCCCCTCAGGGGTGCGTGCTCAGTCCCCTCCTGTACTCCCTGTTCACTCATGAATGCATGGCCAGGCACGACTCCAACACCATCATTAAGTTTGCCGATGACACAACAGTAGTAGGCCTGATCACCGACAACGACAAGACAGCCTATAGAGAGAAGGTCAGAGACCTGGCCGTGTGGTGCCAGGACAACAACCTCTCCCTCAACGTGATCAAGACAAAGTAGATGATTGTGGACTACAGGAAAAAGAAGAGGACCGAGCAAGCCCCCATTCTCATCTACGGGGCTGTAGTGGAGCAGGTTGAGAACTTCAAGTTCCTTGGTGTCCACATCACCAACAAACTAACATGGTCCAAGCACACCAAGACAGTCGTGAATAGGCCACGACAAAACCTATTCCCCTTAAGGAGACTGAAAAGATTTGGCATGGGTCCTCAGATCCTCAAAAGGTTCTACAGCTGCACCATCGAGAGCATCCTGACTGGTTGCATCACTGCCTGGTATGGCAACTGCTCGGCCTCCGACCGCAAGGCACTACAGAGGGTAGTGCGAACGGCACAGTACATCACTGGGGCCAAGCTTCCTGCCATCCAGGACCTCTATACTAGGCGTGTCAGAGGAAGGCCATAAAAATTGTCAGACTCCAGCCACCCTAGCCATAGACTGTTCTCTCTGCTACCGCACGGCAAGCGGTACCGGAGCGCCAAGTCTAGGTCCAAGAGGCTTCTAAACAGCTTCTACCCCCAAGCCATAAGACTCCTGAACATCTAATCAAATGGCTACCCAGACTATTTGCTTGTAAGCAAGCATTTCACTGTTAGGTATACAACTGTTGTATTCGGTGCATGTGACATAACTTTTTATTTTATTTTTCCACCACTGCATGTAATGCTAATGTTTAGGCATACAGTGGGGAAAAAAAGTATTTAGTCAGCCACCAATTGTGCAAGTTATCCCACTTAAAAAGATGAGAGAGGCCTGTAATTTTCATCATAGGTACACGTCAACTATGACAGACAAATTGAGAAAATAAAATCCAGAAAATCCCATTGTAGGATTTTTAATGAATATTATTTGCAAATTATGGTGGAAAATAAGTATTTGGTCACCTACAAACAAGCAGGATTTCTGGCTCTCACAGACCTGTAACTTCTTCTTTAAGAGGCTCCTCTGTCCTCCACTCGTTACCTGTATTAATGGCACCTGTTTGAACTTGTTATCAGTATAAAAGACACCTGTCCACAACCTCAAACAGTCACACTCCAAACTTCACAATGGCCAAGACCAAAAAGCTGTCAAAGGACACCAAAAACAAAATTGTAGACCTGCACCAGGCTGGGAAGACTGAATCTGCAAAGGTAAGCAGGTTGGTTTGAAGAAATTAACTGTGGGAGCAATTATTAGGAAATGGAAGACATACAAGACCACTGATAATCTCCCTCGATCTGGGGCTCCATGCAAGATCTCACCCCGTGGGGTCAAAATGATCACAAGAACGGTGAGCAAAAATCCCAGAACCACACGGGGGGACCTAGTGAATGACCTGCAGAGAGCTGGGACCAAAGTAACAAAGCCAACCATCAGTAACACACTACGCCGCCAGGGACTCAAATCCTGCAGTGCGAGACGTGTCCCCCTGCTTAAGCCAGTACATGTCCAGGCCCGTCTGAAGTGCATTTGGATGATCCAGAAGAGGATTGGGAGAATGTCATATGGTCAGATGAAACCAAAATATAACTTTTTGGTAAAAACTCAACTCGTCATGTTTGGAGGACAAAGAATGCTGAGTTGCATCCAAAGAACACCATACCTACTGTGAAGCATGGGGTTGGAAACATCATGCTTTGGGGCTGTTTTTCTGCAAAGGGACTAGGACGACTGATCCGTGTAAAGGAAAGAATGAATGGGGCCATGTATCGTGAGATTTTGAGTGAAACCCTCCTTCCATCAGCAAGGGCATTGAAGATGAAACGTGGCTGGGTCTTTCAGCATGACAATGATCCCAAACACACCGCCCGGGCAACGAAGGAGTGGCTTCGTAAGAAGCATTTCAAGGTCCTGGAGTGGCCTAGCCAGTCTCCAGATCTCAACCCCATAGAACATCTTTGGAGGGAGTTGAAAGTCAGTGTTGCCCAGCGACAGCCCCAAAACATCACTGCTCTAGAGGAGATCTGCATGGAGGAATGGGCCAAAATACCAGCAACAGTGTGTGAAAACCTTGTGAAGACTTACAGAAAACGTTTGACCTGTGTCATTGCCAACAAAGGGTATATAACAAAGTATTGAGAAACTTTTGTTATTGACCAAATACTTATTTTCCACCATCATATGCCAATAAATTCATTAAAAATCCTACAATGTGATTTTCTGGATTTTTTTTTTCTCATTTTGTCTGTCATAGTTGACGTGTACCTATGATGAAAATTACAGGCCTCTCTCATCTTTTTAAGTGGGAGAACTTGCACAATTGGTGGCTGACTAAATACTTTTTTTCCCCACTGTACATAATGAGTGTTATGATTTGCACAGGTATATATATGATGCATCTACCTAATGTAATGAGGAACTGGTGACAGGAATGAAAGCAAAGTGGAGGAAAAATATTACTGCTATCAAAACTAAGAAAAATACCAACTGTTTTTATATAATTAAATATTTAATACACTTTGATCATACATAATTAGAGGTGTGTATACATTTGTCTCACCATACCCTTACATTCTTATTTCCACACATTGCTGTCAATGGCTGATGTTATAGTGTTGCATTGATGTGAGGTGAGCATCCCTTGAATTCAAGGGAGCCTTTCCACAGTCAGCAGTCATGAGTTTGTTCTTTCTGAAAGGCTCTGAAGGATCTCTCCAGCCATTGAATTTACAAGCATATCTGTTCCATCCTACAGCATAATTTAGGATATACCAAAAATACCAAGAAGGAGGGATACAGAGGGGTCTCTGGTTGAGAGGAAAGGTCAATTTCACAGTACAGTCAAACTAAGGTCCAGGTCTGGGTTGAGAAAGAGAGAGAGCACAGCTCAGAGACCATCTCTGTTCAGTCCTTTTTGGGTGGTGTGAGACGGCCATGACTGGGACAGCTAAAGTTTAAGTTAAAGCTGAGTTTAGGATGAAACCCAGCATGCGTTTTTAAGATGACTACATTGCAGTCGGACTGCACAGAATCACTGATCTAAAAATCACCTTGCATCCCAAATAACTACTCATTATAGGGTCAAGATTGCCGATTCGGCACCTCGCCTTGCTCAAACTGATCCCCTCAAACATGCTGAGAGATACACCTAGTCCTCCTTCTCACTCTGAGAGCAGAGTGGACTGCAGGGGCCTCAGAGTCCTCCGGCTGATCAGTCTCTCCTCCATCATTCCTTTGGGCATCCTCCTCTTCCCTGTGGGAGTGTGACACAACATCTCGTCCAGGCTCCGTTGGGTCACCTGACCCGCATGTTGGAGGCGGGACACTGCCTCCTCCACACTCGCCATCAAAGGACTGTCCTCGCTCCGCAAACACACCAGGTCCACCTGAGAAAGAGGTCACACACACACACGTACTGATGAATGATATTTGTGACTGGATGACTCAGAGATAATTACGTATAGGTTATGCACCAGACATTACAAACATCCATTTGTAGGGTTCTTTTCTTACCACTTCCTGTGCAAATTCAGGCTTCTTGATAAAGACAGAGCTGCTAGAGCCCAAGGCTAGGGTCAGGACAAAGAGGGATTCTTTCACAGCTCCTGCCATAGCCAGTATCAGAACCTGGAACACCACCACAAAAACTACATCAAATAGGATGCTCCCAGGGTGGGAGCTAGACACATTACAAAGTTATAGTGAAGACTGAATATTAGAACTCACTTTGAGATTTTGGCATATTCTGCTGTCAGTGCTCATAATCTGACCAAACATGGATTGTGCTTTTTCAACATCATTCTGGAAGGAAAATAAAATATATTGAATCACATTTGTAGCCTCCTGTAGCTCAGTTGGTAGAGCATGGCGCTTGCAACGCCAGGGTTGTGGGTTCGATTCCCACGGGGGGCCAGTATGAAAAATTTATGCACTCACTAACTGTAAATCGCTCTGGATAAGAGTGTCTGCTAAATGACTAAAATGTAAAATGTAAATTTGTATATGAGAGAGAGAGAGCGAGAGCAAGCGAGAGAGGATGGATGGATGACCAACCTGTCTAAGTGCTAGCGCCACAGTGAAGCAGTAGGCGTGCCTGGGCATCATGTGTCCTTTGGTCTGTCCCTCCTCCATCAGGGCAGCACAGATTCTATAGGACTCTGGGGTGTTCTGGTAAACCGGAAACAGGGCATTACATCACCTGTCTATAGACAAAGATTATGGATATACTGACAAGATAAATGTCTCTCCGCCCTAACAATGGGAGTCGTTGTCCACAAAGAGGCACGGTGGGCTGTCTAGCTCCCGACTATCCTTTCTTCGGATTGGTGGATACATCTCATTATTGTAATCCTTTTTGGAATATTCAATGAAGGTTGTTGACGTCGACTGCCTTTATTCAATTGAGGGAGATGCTACTAGCCTCATGCCATGAATATGCATAGCCATATCGAGACAAAATAAGTATTTTTTCTCAAAGTTGCCGGGATGTCACGTGTCCTACTTATATCAGTACACTCCTACCAACTTAAGCATTACGAAACTTCTATTTGATCAAATAAACCTCACGTAGCAAATAAGCCATTCATTATTCTGTTGACCAAATTCACTAATGAACAGATTTCCAGTCCCAAAGAGAGAACTATGATAACACAAAAACACAATTGCAACAAAATATAAAATGTTATATCACTTGAGAATAATGATGCAAGTCCTGGTCTAATTTCTATTAAGAATAGTGTATTTCTGGTCATTGAACATTCCCGTTGTCTGTTTTATTTGGTTGTCACTCACTCTCATTTTGTCTGATGATATTGCACAGATTTGCACCTGAAGCCAATATCCTTGATCATTGGTGTGGGTGTAACAATCCCTGCATGGCTGACCTAGGATGCAATCTCCTTCCACAACAGCACTTCATACGCACAAAGCAGTGTCCATTATCCTACCAAAACCATGATCTTGGTTGGGCTAGAATAACAGTACTTTAGGTCTCAGGGCAGGTGACATCACCACACGATGGCTACTAGGGCTTTGTCTTTCCCTGATTAGACCACACGCATCCTGTATTGTATCACAACTCTCCAATGGGTTTTGAGAAGGATGCGATGAGAGGAATCGAGGAAGGATGAATTGAGAAAGAGCCTAACACTCACCTGTCAACTAGTTCACATGTGCTACACACTCACCCCTCAGCTGCTACACTCACTGACCACCTACTTCTCCGCATTAACCTCAACAGCCAGCAGAGCAAACTGTGTAAACTAGCACCCACATAATTCATTTTGTGGGTATTTAATTCTGCTACATTGACTCAGATCACGCAGTCAGCGGTTGAGTTATACTGTTGGCAGCATAGGAGGTGAAAGGGGGTGTGACTGTAGCAGAGGTGTTCTGCAGGTGAGTTCTAGTAGCCACTGTGATGTGATGTCATCCCCCTGAGATTTGAAGTAGTGTGTCCTTCTGTCTATCATGAATGTATCTATATTTGAATAATGTAAGCATCTCAGATGCGAGAGGATCTCCTCCTGCAATTTTGCGACGATTTGCTTCATTCTGCTACACACACTGCCCTCCTCCAGTGGTTGGCATGCTTGCTTAAAGTGTCATTTGATTAGGGTTTGGCGTCCCGGTCCGGTCAGCCATACAGGGATGGAACTCATACATTACATGGCTACTTTGCAGCCCATGTAAAAGTGACCCTTCACTGTGGTCACTCTCTAGGGTATTTTTCTCTTGCCTCCACTATCCGTACTCTACCCTTTTGGTTCCATTGCTTACAGTGGATGTGAGATTATTTATGGCATGCATGCCCAATGCAGACATATGATGGGATTAGTATTGGCCTCGTGGGCGTGTCCAATGCACTTGTAGATGTGGCTTGTCATTTCTATACTGAAACAGGATTAGCAAATCCTCACATTGTTTACATTTTACTGAGATGTTTTCTCCATTTGAAATGATACTATTAGAAATAGGAAAAGCACTCACACATCTGAGATAACTTATGTGTGTGGGAATCATTTGCTAATAACTTGAAAGAAAAGAAAAGGCTGATACTAGCAAGAGCATTGTGTGGGTTTTTCCTTTTCATTAGACAATTAATGAGGCTAACCATGTTGAAGGATACCAGATTTGACTTCTACAGCTACATGCCGTCATCAAAACCTTTTAATGAAGGTAGACCTTAAGGATGACATCATCCTGGTGTAATTATATGCAGTTCAACATTATCATCACAAGGTGTCAGCGCAAGTATTTGTATTATTGTCTAGTTTTACTACATGTAAACAAACCACTAGCTAGGTCTCATAACGTGAGGTCGATAATACATGCCTAGCACAAGCAGGCGGTTCATTAAAACTACAGTATGTTTCTTAATTGAAACTAAGTGGGCAACACACCTGGGTAAAATATAGTTGCGTTTTGGAGGAAGCAGACGAAGAGCTAGGAGAGAGATTGGTGAGGGGTTGATATAGTGGTTAATTACTGCTGCTAGCTAATTTTTGATGTAAACAATGTGGTCATCAAACTTTGGACCCGTATGCTAGCTACATTTTTAGTTAAATTGTTGGCTGTCGTGAGAGAAATTCATCTATCTAGCTGGCTAACAAGGTAAACTGATCTTTCTCTATCTTCACATCACGCTAGCTTTGTGGTTATTTGCTGTGTTACCCAAATACAGCTAGCTAACACTACCAAAGCAAACGGATAATAAACTGGAAATAAACGCTGTCTGAGAATTTGTTTAGTGTCTCTCTGTTAACAACAAGTCAATTTGTGTATATGAGGCGTTTGTTCTGTTTTTTGGTTGAATCAAGAAATACGAACTTGTCATTTTGTGCTAGCTAGCCAACTAATTAGCTAGCTAGCTAGCTAGCAATTATGGCGCGATGCAGCACTGGATGTTTGCTGGGGAACCTCTTGGTAGGCTGGACACATTACATTTTTAACAACGCTTTTTTCTGATAAAAACTAGTTCATTGCATCCGTCGTGGAGCCAAGTATCATAATATTTCCATATGTCCCAGCTGCTTGCCGTAGTTCTGAAGTAATTGTGAAAAAAACAGGCCTTATTTTAGGGCATTTTTCACCCTGCCAGCTCCTATTAGTTCTATTGAGCACGGTGGCAGCCAGAATACATTTTCTAATTAAGAATTAACCTCTTTTTTTTGACGATTTGTTGTTTCTAAATGGCTGCTGGGTAATTTGCTATGCGTTGAAATCTGTTTGTTCGTAGGCATCGAATTGAGCGAATGCTGCGCAGGTTCACTCAGTTGCAAACCAAAAATGGACAGGTCTAGCTCATTGATTTGTAGATCTGACGCATTTGCTCCCTCAGATGAGCCTAGCAAGTGTCACAAATTAGTTATGTAGTACCCACAGAAGGCCACAGGGAGGAGCAAGAGGGCTATAAACCCATACTGTTTTTTTGCCTTAAAAACCCTAAACCTACGTATAACTTATTTTAGACTTAACCCTAACCCTGACTGGTAACACAATTCACCTACAGCTGTAATGGTAACCCTAACCGTAACCCTAAACCTTACTGGTAAAACAACGGACCTATAGCTGTAATGGTCACCACAATTCTAACCCTAACCCTGACTTGTAACACAATGCACCTTTAGCTGTAATGGTCACAGTAACTCTAACCCTAACACTAACTGTAACCCTGACTGGTAACACAATGCACTTACAGCTGTAATGGTAACCGTAACCCTAACGGGTAATACAATGCACATATAGCTGTAATGGCAACCCTAACCGTAACCCTAACTGGCAATATAATACATCTATAGTTTTAATGGTCACCGTAATTCCAACCCTAACCGGTAACACAATGCACCTTTGCTTTAATGGTCACCGTAATTCTAACCCTAACCCTGACTGGTAAGACAATGCACCTACAACTGTAATTGTAACCCTAAACCTTCCTGGTAAAACAACGGACCTATAGCTGTAATGGTCAACCTAACCCTCACCCTGACTTGTAACAAAATGCACCTATAGCCATAATGGTCACCACAATTCTAACCCTAACCCTAGGTATAACCTATTTTAGCCCTAACCCTAGGTATAACCTATTTTAGCCTTAACCCTAACCGTAATTCTTGGGTAGGGTAGCCTAAAACACTTTTCTAAACTATTTTTGTAATAATATTATGTTAGTAAATACCATTATAGTACTAAATACCATTTTGATTGTTATTTTTAAAATAAAAACCTATGTAAGCATTTTGCAGTTTTTTTGTTGTTATTAGTTATTTGTTATTGCAAGGCAGAACACTTGATAAACAAGCCACATTTTATTTTTCAAATGTGGTTTGAACTGGGTGTGACCTAGTAACCTATATGTGAAAGTCCAGCAATTGGCTGGGATAGGAGGGGCAGGTTTGAGACTGATCTTAGGAATTAATAAGAAAAAAACACTTCATTTCTCAGCTGCCTCACCAATGTCTTTATGTGAATTAATAACTTTGAATTGCTAAATATTTCCAATAGATGGCAGCATAAGACCACAAAGCATCAGTTATAGGCCATAGCAGCAATATGATTGATCAAGCACTATGATGAAACTGGCTCTCATGAGGACTGCCACAGGAATGGAAGACCCAGAGTTACCTCTGCAGCAGAGGATAAGTTCATTAGAGTTACCAGCCTCAGAAATCGCAGCCCAAATAAATGCTTCACAGACTTCAAGTAACAGACACATCTCAACATCAACTGTTCAGAGGGGAACTGTTCAGAGGGGACTGTGTGAATCAGGCCTTCACGGTCGAATTGCTGCAAAGAAACCACTACTAAAAGGACACCAATAATAAGAAGAGACCTGCTTGGGCCAAGAAACACGAGCAATGGACATTAGACCGGTAGAAATGTGTCCTTTGGTCTGGAGTCCAAATTGGTGATTTTTGGTTCAAACCGCAGTGTCTTTGTGAGACGCGGTGTGTGTGAACGGATTATCTCCTCATGTGTATTTCCCACCGTAAAGCATGGAGGAGGTGGTGTTATGGTGAGGGGGTGCTTTGCTGGTGACACTGTCTGTGATTTATTTAGAATTCAAGGCACACTTAACCAGCATGGCTACCACAGCATTCTGCAGCGATTCGCCATCCCATCTGGTTTGGGCTTAGTGGGACTATCATTTGTTTTTCAACAGGACAATGACCCAACACACCTCCAGGCTGTGTAAGGGCTATTTGACCAAGAAGGAGAGTGATGGAGTGCTGCATCAGATGACCTGGCCTCCACAATCCTCTGACCTCAACCCAATTGAGATGGTTTGGGATGAGTCGGACGGCAGAGTGAAGGAAAAGCAGCCAACAAGTGCTCAGCATGTGTGTGAACTCCTTCAAGACTGTTGGAAAAGCAATCTAGGTGAAGCTGGTTGAGAGAATGCCAAGAGTGTGCAAAGCTGTCATCAAGTCAAAGTGCTCGGTTGTCATCAAATGCTAGCTCCAAAATACTTTTTGCCCTTGGAACACTGAGCTCCGCCCATTGTTTTCCTATGGAAAGGCATGCCGGTCTATTTCGCCAAAGTCTGGGCAGAGAGCTCTGTTGTCATCGATCACTAGACCAGAGAAATAGTCACAAGTTTTCATTACGCAGACATAAGCACAGTTGACACCATCGAGGTGCGGATGTTTACTTTCTACACAAGTTTTTTTTTTTTTCGTCCTAAGAACAGATTGCAGTGGTAAAATAAAAATGTATACATTTTTTAGTGCCATTTAGGCTAAATGGAATTCTAAGCATCACTCCAGTCAGAAGAGGCTCTGCAAAGGTTTGTTTCAATTCATTTGCTATGGCCTCGCGCTAGTGTTCCAGCTCAGCCAATGCTCTTTTGCTGTTTTTCAGCCTTGGGTGAATTTTGACTCATTCTGTTGTCCAGCCTACTCTTGGATGAGCATGCATATAGAACGTGTTATTGTTCTGACAGTTGAAAAGGTCTATAGGGTGGACCAATACAATGTCTGCAAGGTGGACAAATCCTCACCAGTTTATAGCAGGTCCCAGTTGCTAATGTGAATGTGTCTTTGGTGAATGGCACACCTTGGTTCTTCATGTCTCGCAGTACATCCAGAGCACCTAGTAGTATGGACATGGTTTAGTGACGACAGAGATCAGTCATCTATAAATATTCATTTTCTTGTTGAATGTGTGCTGCCTTCTAATATTAAAAGGATGTCACTTACTCTCATATAATCCTTTCATAAACAACATGTCTATGGCAATATTGAAGGAGGTCGAGTCAGAGAAGAATCCTCTCAAATCCTGTTAGAGAAAGGAGATTTGTTTATTTACAACTTGACCAGCTACAGTATGTGTAAACTTCAATCAATACCCTAGTCTATGGGACTGCACTAATATAATTACATGATATGATCTCTATAGCACTTGTTAATCTTCGTTCATTCAGAGATGTTGATTATTCCCTGACAAATTATTAATGTAGTCTAAGTACTGCATATTAATAGATTGTTACCTTGTCTGTCAGTGTGGCAGCAGCCATATCCTCCAGCCCCAGTTCATAGCACAGCCTCATGAAGAGAGGACCAAACTTAAACTCTCCAAATGCTACATTACTGTTCTCCTCATGGTACCTGGACAGCGGAACATGCAGAACACACAAACATACACAAACACAGAACCATGACGAAGTTAGACTACCAACATTAGTCAAACTACAAGATTGCATTAAACTATTTCAAACTTATGCTTTATCTGTCCGTAACACAGTTGATGAGGAGACTTCATCTTCAGGTCTGTTTTGACAGCTAATTGTGAGGATACTTAGGATAGAGTTTGACACCACTGAATATGTGAAGTATGAAATACTCAATCATCTGGTCAGTGGCCACAATGCATTAGCAAGAAACTAGTATCTCACTGTGTGACCCATACCTGTAGATGGCACCTCTGGCTGTGACCATGTCCTCTGCAGATTGGCAAAGGTGTAGAAGCAGCTTTAACTCATCCTTCAATATTAGCTGTTTCTTCTTCAGCTTCTGATTAAATACCTCAAAATAATGACCTGGAGAATATAACATGGTCTGTCAACTTCAAAACTAGTAGTTGCAGCACGGTAGTATTACATCCAAACAGTAAGGTCATATCAGAATCAGTACAGTAACCTACTTTTTGATCCGGACACTTGATGAGCCACTGCCAGTTTCCGCTGCTGAAATTCTTGTAGCTTGACAACATCCTCTGACAGCAGATGCCTTTTTGCTGAAATGAATGAAGCAACAGGAGTAGTCAACATATACATGAATAGGAATTAGGTTAAGGTTAAGAAAGGGTTAGGATAAAAGCGTCTGCTAAATGGCATATTATTATTAGCTCAAATGCAAAAAAATAAAAAATACTTTTGACGTCAATTTGACAAAAGCTGTAGCCCATCTGGACATGACCGGGCACGGTACTGTAATTGCCCATGTATCTGAACAAGTTCAACACTTGTGGAAATTGACTGCATGCATTACACATTCGTCTGGAAAGTTGAAGTAGTTCCAAGATAGATAAATATGATAAAAGGACAGGAGAGACAGCTCAGCCGCTGTCACACAAGTGACATTGGCATTGAGACAGATTCCGTGGTGGTCGACAAGCTAGCGCTAGCGGCACAGGTACTGCACCATGACATTATATACATAAAATAAGTTATTCATATACCTCCTACTCTGCATGCCATACAGTCCGATTGTATGAGGCCACGATATAATCCTTTTGAGGGAACATCATTAAGCAGTATTCGGACGAAACCGCCGATTCTGCCAAGCGCCATGTTGCCCCCTGACTGTACTATTACTGCGAGAGCAAAGGGTGAAATGGTTTGGCAATTCAAATAAAATCTTATTTCGCTGCGCCAGGTTTGTTAGAAGCACAGCAAACTATTGTTCATCTACTAATTATAGTTATTGTTTACCATCCAATTGATAACGTATGTAACAATGGAGAGATAGAAATATATACGTTTTATTCTCCACTTTTTCACGTTTAGTTGGTACATTCCAAAATGTCTGCGCCCTGTCGCCGTGTTTACTATTTTTACGTCGGATTTCCAAATGTCCAGGTTAAACGAATATTTATTCTGACCAATGGACTGTCTTGGAGTAAAATAATAATTATCTTGCCATCTCATCTCCATTCTCATTAGCTGTCCGATGTCTGGTTGGGATTATAGCAAATCAACGAAATGAATTTCGCACATGCTGAACATAAAGGTAATACCTCCTACAACCTGCAGGGGGCAGTGTTCCATACACAATTTGCATCCAACCCATACGGTATAATGCTATCTGGAATCCTTGGGACGTCCATACCCTTACCTAACCCTTACCTTAACCATTTTACATTTCAACTTCAATGGGGTAATGTGGGAGAGGCTATACAGACACGCCTGGTGCCCAAATGGATGACATACACTACATCGCTAAGAGTATGTGGACACCCCTTCAAATTAGTGGATTCTGCTATTTCAGCCACACCCGTTGCTGACAGGTGTATAAGGGAAGAAGATGGCGGAAGCGGACGATGAAGTGGATTCTGAATCCAATGGCTGTAGAATCAAGGGGAATTGGAGTGTTGTCCAAAATAATGGAAAACGGAGCAAAGTAGTGTACAGTGATGAGAATGTCCCTTTGTATCTAATAGGAGTACGGTTTGTTAATGAGGAGCAGTTGAGCAGATTACCAATCTTGAAGAAACCATTTGAGATATCCAAACTAGTGGAGAGAGTGCTGGGTAAAGTCAAGGCTGTGAGGATCACAAGAGGTGGGCTTGTTTTGATTTTTTGTGCTTCTGCAGATCAGAAGGAACGTGCGTTGCGTCTCACCCGATTTGATAAGTTTGAAGTGTCCTGTGTGTCTCTTCGGAACAGGGCACCCCTTAAGGGGGTTATATCTGGCGTCTCGTGGGAAGTTCATTTTGAAGAAATTAAAAAATATTCCTGGAGTGATTGATGCACGTCAGATGAATCATGTGGTGAATGGTGAAAAAGTGAATAGTCTATCTGTTCTTTTGTTTTTGGATATGGAGTCTCTCCCTACTCAAGTGCAGTTGGGGTATATAAACTACAGAGTCAGAGCATTTATCCCAAGACCAATGCAGTGTGATCATTGTAAAGCTTTTGGTCATGTTTCAAGTGTTTGCAGAAGGGAGAAGCCGAGATGTCCAAGTTGTGGAAAAGATAATATCATGTGTTTTAAAAGTGAGGAAAATGTGACATGTTACAATTGTGGTGGGAACCATGAAGCTACATCTTTCAATTGCCAGACAAGGGTGATAGAGAATGAGGTGGCCAAAGTCAGGGCTGTCCAGAGCATTTCATATGCAGCAGCTGTTAAAAGGCTTGAAGGTTTGAATGGTGCTCCTGAAGAGTCCATGGTGGTGGATAGGCCTTCACTGCAGGCTGCAAGGGTTGCCTTTCACCAGCAGGACCCTGACATTTGAAAGTTAAGAAGGTGGACTTTGTGGCCTTTATAGTTATTACATTTACATTTACGTCATTTAGCAGACGCTCTTATGGTGATTAATGGCACTGCCAAGGTGGAGAGAAGGTCCAGGAAGATAGATATCATTGTGGATGCGGCGGAGCGGTTCCTGGGACTGAAAGATTTCTCGGCGGAGGAGTTACATGGAATATTGGCACAAGCCGTACCACCCTCTCAGGCCTTATAGCCTGAGAAGGGAGATATTGAGATTTGAAAGAAGGAAGAAGTGGGAGTTTTGTTTTGTTAGTTTCCCTATCACATGGATTTTCTTTTTACCTTGTTTTGGTTTTCAACCCATCCAGTTGGTGGCGGCAATAAACCTTTTTGGGTTGTAGTCTGCCATAAAACCCACAGAAGAGGAAGAAGAAGAAGAAGAAGAAGACGGGCGTATAAAATCGAACACACAGACATGCAATCTCCATAGACAAACATTGGCAGTAGAATGGCCTTACTGAAGAGCTCAGTGACTTTCAACGTAGCACTGTCATAGTGCCACCTTTCCAACAAGTCAGTTCGTCAAATTTCTGCCCTGATAGAGCTGCCCTGGTCAACTAGAGCTGCCCCGGTCAAAGTGCTGTTATTGTGAAGTGGAAACATCTAGGAGCAACAACGGCTCAGCCAAGAAGTGGTAGGCCACACAAGCTCACAGAACAGGACCACCGAGTGCTGAAGCGCGCAGCGCGTAAAAATCATCTGCCCTCGGTTGCAACACACACAACGAGTTCCAAACTGCCTCTGGAAGCAACGATGAGTTCCAATGTCGGGAGCTTCATGAAACGGGCTTCTATGGCCGAGCAGCCTAAGATCACCATGCGCAATGTCAAGCGTCGGCTGAAGTGGTGTAAAGCTAGCCGACATTGGACTCTGGAGCAGTGGAAACGTGTTCTTTGGAGTGATGAATCACACTTCACCATCTGGGTTTGGCATATGCCAGGAGAATGCTACCTGTCCCAATGCATAGTGCCAACTGTAAAGTTAGGTGGAGGAGGAATAATGGTCTGGGGCTGTTTTTCATGGTTCGGGCTAGGCCCCTTAGTTCCAGTGAAGGGAAATCTTAACGCTACAGCATACAATGACATTCTAAATGATTCTGTGCTTCCAACTTTGTGGCAACAGTTTGGGGAAGGCCCTTTCCTGTTTCATGACAATGCCTCAGTGCACAAAGCGAGGTCCATACAGAAACGGTTTGTCGAGATCGGTGTGGAAGAACTTGACTGGCCTGCACAGAGTCCTGACCTCAACACCATCGAACATCTTTGGGATGAATTGGAACACCGACTGCGAGCCAGGCCTAATGGCCCAACATCAGTGCCTGACCTCACTAGTGCTCTTGTGGTTGAATGGATGCAAGTCTCCGCAGCAATGTTCCAACATCTAGTGGAAAGCCTTCCCAGAAGAGTGGAGGCTGTTATAGCAGCAAAGGGGGGACCAACTCCATATTAATGCCCATGATTTTGGAATGAGATGTTCGACGACCAGGTGTCCGCATACTTTTAGTCATGTAGTGTATGTCAAGCAGCTGAGGGTCGAGTGTGGAGACAAATGGATTCGGTTCAGTCAGTCTTCCTGATAAGCAGACACGTGCACAGATAGGGCTCTACCTCTTTGCCCTTCCAGTCTCCAAAGTGCCCTTTTGGGTGGTGGTATAATTTCCCCCAAAATGTTAATTTTTTTGTATACATCTTTTGTCGTTGTTCTGCACCCACTGCATGCAAGTTGCAGTCAAGTTCGCCACCCCATCTGTTTTGTTGTGCCTGTTGATCTGCCCTGTTTGGATGCTTCCGGTTAAGCTTTTTCCCAGTCTGCCCAGTATGGAGATTGAACACACCAGGTATCCAAACATGCATGGCTTGAGAGATGCAGTCACTGGTCTAGTGTGTGTAGCTAGCTACCTAGTTTAAATATCAACAGTACTGCTACAGAAGCATAACATGTGATAACACTTGATTTAGCCTACATCATCATCAATATTTGGTCTGGTTGGCTGATGGAATCAGCAGCTAGAGGCAAAATGACATAGAGAGTTAAATCACAATCACTAAAAGAAATTGAGCTAGCTAACTAGCAGATTTAAATCAATCATCAACATCAGTGCCCGACCTCACTAGTATTCTTGTGGTTGAATGGAAGCAAGTCCCCGCAGCAATGTTCCAACATCTAGTGGAAAGCCTTCCCAGAATAGTGGAGGCTGTTATAGCAGCAAAGGGGGGACCAACTCCATATTAATGCCCATGATTTTGGAATGAGATGTTCGACGAGCAGGTGTCCGCATACTTTTAGTCATGTAGTGTATGTCAAGCAGCTGAGGGTCGAGTGTGGAGACAAATGGATTCGGTTCAGTCAGTCTTCCTGATAAGCAGACACGTGCACAGATAGGGCTCTACCTGTTTGCCCTTCCAGTCTCCAAGTGCCCTTTTGGGTGGTGGTATAATTTTGATTTAAATCAATCATCAACATCAATGATCAACTGATAGCCCACCCTCTTTTCTCAATGTCAATCATGTCTTTAGGAGGCACTGTTACAGGCTTGCTTACAATTTGTGATGAGTGAGTGTGTTGTTGCAGAAATAAATTGCTCTATGGGTGGCAGGTAGCCTAGCGGTTAAGAGTGGTGCACCAGAGGTCGCTGGTTTGAATACCCGAGCCGACTAGGTGCAAAATCTGTTGATGTGCCCTTGAGCAAAGCAGTTAACCCTAATTGCTCCTGTAAGTCTCTGGATAAGAGTGTCTGCTAAATGACTAAAATGTGTACTGAACAAAAATATAAACGCAACATGTAAAGTGTTGGTCCCATTTTCATGAGCTGAAATAAAAGATCCTAGAAATGTTCCATACTTATTTCTCTCAAATTTTTGGCACAAATTTGTTTACATCCCTGTTAGTGAGCATTTCTCCTTTGCCAAGATAATCCATCCAGCTGACAGGTGTGGCATATCAAGAAGCTGATTAAACAGCGTGATCATTACACAGGTTCACCTTGTGCGGGGGACAATAAAAGGCCACTAAAATGTGCAGTTTTGTCACACAACACAATGCCACAGATGTCTCAAGTTTTGAGGGAGCGTGTAATTGGCATGTTGACTACAGGAATGTCCACCAGAGCTGTTGCAAGAGAATTGAATGTTAATTTCTCTAATATAAGCCGCCTCCAACGTCATTTTAGAGAATTTGGCAGTATGTCCAACCGGCCTCACAACTGCAGACCACGTGTATGGCGTCGTGTGGGCGAGCGGTTTGCTGATGTCAACGTTGGTGGCGGTAAGCATAAGCTACGGACAATGAACACAATTGCATTTTAT